ATATATATATATATTAGTAATAATGTATATAATATTAATACAAATATATAATATAATAATTAACCCTGCCCTGTGCTGGCAGATCTCACTATCAGCTGTGAACTAGATTTGAACACGGTCTGTCCTAACAAAGGGTTAAAGACACAGAAGCATATTATGTATATTAATGAGAGGAGCTCAGTCTGTCCCCAGTCTTTCTATGAGGACAGACAGAGTTTCCTTTCACTTGGAAATTGAGATAGACACTTGCAAAGGCTACAGAGACGAATCTAAACGGTAATATTTTTTATAAAAATATTTTTCAGTATGCTGTGTGAATAGGAACACGTAAAGTTTTTTTTCAATTTTAACTGCAAAAGTGGAAATACACTTTAAGATCCCATTCAGGCTATTGCAGTCTGGTAATGCTCGTTTAAATGCACAGTTTAACCTGCATCACTGCCATGCAAGTTAGCCCATGCCTCCATTCAATTCACTGTGAATGGTACCCAAATGCACTACACCATAGCAGGCAATGCACGTGCACTGCAATGCATCACATTGTACATGACATGCACTGTGGTGCACTATATTGACAAAAAAAAAAAGGGTCAATAACCAGGGCCGGATTTACTCTCTCTGCTGCCCCAAGGGCAGGTTCCTCTATGTGCCCCTCTCCCCACCAAACCCATGGGTTGGTGTTATTTTTTTTTTATTTTTTCTATATTTAATTTTACTTTTTTATCACTTTTTAATTTTGATTAATTTTTCTTTTAAATTTGTGTCTATCTTATTATCTTTTACTTTTTTTTATAATTTTTTTAGACCTGCAGGCAGCATACAAGACCTGCTGCCCCTCTGCTCCCTGCTGTCCCAAGGCCGGGCCTCTGTTGGCCTTGTGGGAAATCCGGCCCTATCAGTAACTGTCTGCAATGTTAGGTGTGGTGTGGTGTGCTGGCAGTCCATTAAATATGAATACTGCATTGCTAGTGCATGAATCCAGTTTGTGGAAGCAGTTGTCTCTCTGCAGAGGTCCAATATGCCTTCTGATAAATTAGAGCTAAAGCTCTCTCAGCAAAGCTTATACAGAGCAGCTGAGATTTATCATAAGGCTTGCTGCAGAAGTGGCTGCTTACAATCTGATTGGGGGGTACTCAGGTGGTGTTAAAGCTGAAATCCCTCAAAACTATCCATGCAGTGTGGCTTCCCCCCATACTGTAAGGGTTAAATGCTGATTTATGCCTTGGATACCTGTAAAAAGCTCTTTTACTTACCTAATCCCTTGTTTCTGCGCGCTGTACCCAATCCCTGCAGCCTCTTCTTCCTGATGCTCGGGTGGTCACAACCACTGT